AAAAAAAAAGTGCCCCCCAAAATTGTTTACTTCATTCTATTCAGCTTGCAGATAGCCTTTAATAGCTTTTAGCCTTCCATCTGAGAACTGGTAAAATTTTTTGACCATAATGTAGCTTTTATTTATCCAAATGTTTATGAATAGATCCTTTTAGCATACTTTGATTAATTCACTCAAATCGCTTGAATTTGTGTTTCTAAATGATGGCTAAAAGTTTCTTTGAAGGCTGTACAGTTAATATATACACTCCTTAATCACATAATTTTTATATATGTATTTTCAATTAGTAGTAAATTGTTGTCAAAATGCACTTGTAGATTTTGAAAGCATTTTTTTTTTTAGGAGGGGGAGTGAGGTGGAGGAGGGGCAGTGGGAGAGGGAGAGAGAGAGTCTTAAGCAGGCTGCAGGCCCAGCATGGGGTCTGACACAGGGCTTGATCTTACAACCCTGAGATCATGACCTGAGCCAAAATCAGGAGTTGGATGCTTAACCGACTGAGCCACCCAGGCGCCCCTTAAAAGCATTTTAAAGCCAAAATGTTTGATTTATAGATTTTATATTTAAAATATTATACATACTATTTACATTACCATGTTTACATTAACTCTTAATACATAGGATATAGAGTCATTTTAACCATAAGTAATAGAAGCAGTAAAACCATCCAGATTTATGATAATTTTATAAACACTAAAGCCCATTTTTTCCAATTGCCGAGTTGAAGAAATCATTACTCTCAACTGTGAATGAGCTTAGGTATATTTATTTTTCCACCAAACTCAAGATACTCCTTGTAAAAATATGCTTACCAATTCTAACCTAGTTATTATTCCAGGTATTCTTGCCTTTCTATATCTGTGTCTCTGTCTTCAGCCTTAGATGAGCTTCTTAGCCTTATATGATAGAAGAGTGGAACTGCTTTAGTTCTGCTTATCTCTCTTGTCTTCTTGCTAATGCACCTGTAGACCTAGACTTCAGTGCAGTTCTTTTTCTTCTAAAACATGCTCCTTTCTCTTTTTCTATCTCTGATTATTTATTGAGGTAGAAAATAGGGGCTAAAGGAATGTGATGGGAAATTTCACTCTTTTTGTTTGAATCACAAATTTGACTCAGCAGTGAGTCAGGCAGTGAGTTTAGTTAGTCCTAGGGAGTCCTGGAGAATAAGCCACAGTCTCTGCTTAGGGGGACAGTCACAGATACTCCCATCTATCATGTGGGATGCTGGAAACAAAGCATTGTGAAACTGAACGGAACAGTCTAAAGGGAAAGACGTCCCAGAAAAGATGACATTAGGATAGGTCTGGAAAGACAGATGGATATTTGTGAGTGAGAAAAGGAGAAAGTATGTTCTAGTTCTCATGAACATTATATACAAGAACAGAGGGTATGAAGGTCTGAGGTTCTTAGGGGAATTGCCCGTAGTCCACATGACTAAAATGTAGGCACTGAAAAGTGAAGGGGAAGTTCATTTTCATGTCATTGTTAAGAATCTTACATGCTGTACTAATTTGGGGCTTTATCTTTGGTTTATTGGGGGAGCCACCAAAGGTTTTAAAGCAGTGGATTAATATGAATTTATTTCTGCTTTAATTACAAGCTGCAAACTCAGATGTCTGTAGGGACCAGGCAGGTAACTTACACGAAGCTGCTAGATGTGTGATAGCAGGAAATGATCAGGCCCACAGGACTGATCAGGCCTTGCCTGAAGCCTTTCACATATAAGCTAGAGGAAAAACTGTGTTTGCCGGATCAAGCAGAATATTGAGACCCCTGCTCAGAGCTGTCCCTGAGAGCTTTTTGGAGGATGTTGTACAATGCTTGGTATACAGTAGGCTGATGGTGTTTGTCAAATAAATGGATGATGGATTGAAGGGTGGGTGTGGGTGTTGTGTGCAGAGATTCACTGGGAGACCATTAAGATAATTCAAGCAAAAGGTGGTAATGCTTGAGTTAGGACACATAATTGAAAAAAGAGAAGCATAGGTGGATATGAGAAATACTGAAATGGTAGAATTGTCAGGATTCACTTACCAGTTCACACATGAAGAGAGGAAAGAATTAAAGATGACCTAGAGATTTCTAGCTTAGATTGAATGGGTGGTGATGACGTGAATCAAAAGAGAGATGGGGCACCTGGGTGGCTCAGTCGTTTAGCATCTGCCTTCGGCTCAAGTCATGATCCCAGGGTCCTGGGATCGAGCCCCGCATGGGGCTCTCTGCTCAGTGGAAAGCCTGCTTCTCCCTCTCCCACTTCCCCTGCTTGTGTTCCCTCTCTCACTGTGTCTCTCTCTGTCAAATAAATAAATAAAATCTTAAAAAAAAAAAAAGAGAACGTGGGAGAAAGGACAACTGTAGGAGAAGTAGTATTGGGGGGAAGGGGGTGGAGCTGAGGAACTTTTTAATTCTAAGTGCCAAGGTACTTATCATGACTATCATTTTTGGTGTATTATTTGGGGGTCTTTAAGTCTCATTTTCATTCATTCATTCATTCATTGTTCTTGAACAGAAATTGTCCCAGAACCCTTTTTTTCTTTTAGGAAAATCTCAGTCCTGCCTACACATATTCCCTTAACCTATGTCTGTGGCTGTGGCTATTTTTCTAGGCATAAATCCTGGTTAGAGATCTTAATTTTTCTGATATCAACCCTATATTGTTGGTTGTCAAAGTACCTAGTTTTGCTCAGTCTCAGTTTTTACTAGAATAATCTCCAGTTCTCAACTTTAATCAAAAGTGTGCTTACGATAAGTAGTATTTGTAGCAAATTGTCTAATTCCTCCATATATTTGGACATTTATCCCTGAGACCATCAAAAAATGGGTACTTGTATTATTGGTTTTACTTTTCTGATACATTGCTTTATATCTACGTATCTATATATGTATCTACATATGTCTCATCACTCTGGTGTTATTTCCTCAGCTTTCATTAAAAGGTTCTGTAAGAAGCAAATGCAACGAATCCATAAATCCATTATTATATATTATATAAGGCTACTGTCAAGGGTGTTGTGCCTTAGGAGATAAAAGGTGATTGTTCCCTTTTTCAGGACTCTGGTAAAATTTTCTCCCAGAACTTAAATGCCAACAAAAGTGATTTTTGTTTCTTTGGTTTTTTGTTTTGTTTTTCCCTTGAGTGCTGGTAATTTTTTGATATTATGGACACTAAATTGTGTACTTGGACCCTCCCTATTTGTTTTGGCTGCTAGGACCTTGAGAGTCAAGTTCATAAACAGATAACAGTTGTAAAACAATACCTTGTACAATTATACTTTTCATTTGTTCTATTTTATTTTAGTTTGCCTTAATTTTTTTTGTTAAAATATTTTCTCTATGATTGTATTTATTTTGTTAGATATCACAGATCCTTTTTAATAAGGAAATACTATAATTCAAATAATATCAGTTCTGGTTTTTAATTTTTTTTCACTGACCTAGGGAAAATTAAAGGGAACAAAATCAGATTCAACTACATATCCAAAGTGTATAACTAAATAAATTTTTACAAAGTGAACATAGTTGCATAATTACATCCCAGAAATGCAAATAGAACATTTCTATTACCCCAGAAGCGTCCTTCATACCCAGTCCCAGTCATTTTTCTCCCAAGGTAACCTAACCACTGTTCTAACTTCTGTCACTACGGTTTGTTTTGCCTGGTTTGAACTTTATATAAATGTTATCATGTAGTAACTTCTATATAGTGGACTTTGTCAATTTGTTTTTGAGATTCAGGTGACACATTTTCATTGCTATAGTATTTCATCATATAAATATATTATACTTTATCCATTTAATTATTCATAGACAATTGTGTTGCTTTAAGTTTTGCCCATTACAAATAATGCTGCAAAGGTTGTGTATGCATTTGTGTAAGATACGTATCTAGGACTCCTGGAATATTGAGTGAATGTATGTTGAATTTCAGTAGATCTTACAGTTTTTCAAAGAGGTTTTATCAATTTCCCCTTCCTCCAACATTGAATTCAGTGTTCCATTTATTCTGCATCCTTGCCAACATTTGTTGATGTCATTTTTTTTATTTTTTAAAAAATATTTTTAGCTATTCTGGTTGTTTGTTATGTTGTCTTATTGTAGGTTCAGTTTGCTTTTCCTGAATGCCTACTTGGAGTGCCTGTTGTATGTTAATTGGCCAATCAGATATCTCCTTTGTCAAGTATCTGTTCAAGCCTTTTGCCCTTTATTTTTATTCTTGTTCGTTTGATCAATTTATGAATTCTTCTGTTTGTACCACACTATCTTATTGCTGTGACTTTATAACCTTTACCTATTTTAGTATATGTCCTCCAACATTGTTCTTCAAGATATTCCTCCCTATTCTTAATCATTTGAGTTTCCACATAAATTTAGAAGCAGCTTGGCATTTTCCATACACAAAGAAAGAAAAACCTGCTGGAGTTTTAATTAAAATTTTAGTTATTCTAGAAGATCATTTTGGTGAGAACTGGTATCTTAATGATATTGAAGGCTGTAGTTTGTTTCCATGGTATATATCTTCATGTATTTCAGTATTCTTTATTTTAGCTCAGTTTTGTATTGCCTATTTTTTATTAGATTTATTCCTAGGTATTTGGTTTTTTGAAATGGTATTTTAAAATTTTTTATTGTCTAGTTCTTTGTTTCTAGTATATAGAAATTGATTTTACTTTGGAAATTCTACCTTTTATCTGTATTATACTTTTTAATCTTTAAAACTTGCTATCAATTTTGATTTCTTGAATTCTTAGTTTTTATCTATCTATTCTTTAGGAGTTTCTACCTATACAATTCTGTTGCTGTCAGTTATGACTCTTTTATTCTTTCTAATTCTTTTCCTTTTATTTTTCTTGCTTTATTGCCCTGTCTGTAGAATCAACATATCTTACTGCTCATACTATTTATCTGTGAATTTATGAATTATTTATTCAGCTAGTGTATATTTTTTGAGCACTTAGTTTGTCTCTGTTAAAGATAGTCACATCTAACTCTGTTTTATTTGATAGTGAATTGAATTCAAAGCTTCAAGATACTTTAGAACAAATTGAGGTAAGAAGGATTACATCATAAGTGCTTTTCTCTTTTCAGAGGCTTTTGAATAGTACATATGCATCTTATGTTATGATTTCTGTGTTAATACCAGTGTTCTAGATCACAACACTTTATTGTTTTTTTTTTAATTTGGGATATCTGTGCATGGTTGAGTTAATGCTAATCTACTTGTAAACTCAATAATACTATTGGAGTTGGGGGCGCGTGGGTGGCTCAGTTGGTTAAGCGACTGCCTTCAGCTCAGGTCATGATCCTGCAGTCCCAGGATCGAGTCCCACATCGGGCTCCCTGCTCGGCAGGGGGTCTGCTTCTCCTTCTGACCCTCTTCCCTCTCGTGCTCTCTGTCTTTCATTCTCTCTCTCTCAAATAAATAAATAAAATCTTTAAAAAAAAAAAAATACTATTGGAGTTGTGGGATCTGAAAATGGTATTTTGTATCTGAAAACACCCTATCCAGAAAGATCCCAAAACTGTTAATCATAGATTTGTTTTCATGTAAATTATAGCCAAAATGTTTACCATGTATTAATTATTTTTTGATTATTAACTTTTTTAGTTCAATGAGTTAATTTATATAAGAATAATTATTGGCTGATGAACCCTCCTAAATTCCTAAACCTTCTACTATTCATACAGTTCATCAAAATGTAGAAATGGAAAGGAAAAGATATGTCATTATGAGCATGAAGTCTTACTTTTCCTCCTACATTTATTCAGAGTTCATCTCTTTACTTGGCAATCTTTGCAAAGCAGGGTATTCATTTTAATAAATAAGAATTATTTGTTATTTTCTGGTATTTTATTTTATCATTTTTCTGATGAGCGTACTTGTAAAAACTGAGGCTGGACTTTCAAACAACCTTTTGTGAAAGTATGTTTTCATCATAAATGCAGTTATTTACTAATTGTAAGAATGGCAGTTTATTTGATAAACATAAAGATAATGCTTTGAAAATCCCTTAAGTAAATAATCATTTGAATATTGAGGACTTTCTTTTGAAAGCTCAGTGTTTCTTCACTCTGAGTATACAATATTATTCTGTACTTATGTAGAGAATCATTATTTTGAAATGAAATCATTGAAATAGAAATCCTTAAACAGTTGATGCATTTAGATATAAAAGTATGTATCTTGGGTATGTGCTTTTAAGGTCAATGTAGTTTTGTTGAGAATTACTTTTCAGTGATTATAGAAGGACTGTTACTATTTTTTAATAGTCCTATAAATTCAGTTCATATAATTGTAAGTTTTAGCAGATGTATGAGGAAACATAAAGTAAAAATAAAAAGTAAAATACTTTTAGTAACTATTACGCTTATTTTGTGTCTCTTGAAACACTAGGCATGGGTCTTTAGATTCCTCATTTATTAATGACATCTTAGTAAACTTGATTATAGTTGGTGTATAGTTGGTAATACATGAGAATTACAATTTATTTATATTTTTATTTAAATTTGTTTTTGACTGTTAAATCTAATGTGATAGTAAATATCTTTAGATAATTAATTAAAAAATGAAAAATTAGTCTTAACACTTTCCTCTCATTACCTTGGAAACAATTCCTTAACTGCCTCTTGCCTCTTGTTTTAATTCCATAGGAACAGTTGGATGTAGCTCTTTCTAAAATTTGCAAGAATTTTGACATAAACCATTATACCAAGGTTCAGCAGGCTTATCGACTTCTTGGAAAAACACAGGTTAGTTTTGAAAGAATGTTTGCTTTTTTCTTAATCAGGAATCTGTTGATCTTTATGAATGCTCAAGTCTGAATATTACTAAGGTAGTGTCCTTAAAAAGTTTCATTTAACGAAGTGCATTTTTATGCCATATTAACATAGTTTCAGTGTATGGAGTATGATTAAAACATGACAGAAGTTTGTTTTGAGCTATGAAGTGTTTATCAGGTTTAATATTTTCACAATTTTATATAGTTTGTTTTTTTTTTTGAAATGTTATTATAAGATAATTTAGTTGGAGGGAATGTGTAGTCTTTTACCTCAGCTCTTTGTCCTGAATAAGAACTTCTTAATTTGGAGCTTCATGGTTCTGAGATGGGCCAGCATGTTTCCCTCAAAGTGGTACGTAAACTTTTGTGTAGTGTATATGTTTATCTGTAAAACAGCACCATTTCATTTATCATATTTTTCAAGGGATTCTCTTACTCTCCGAATGACTTCACTACTCCCACGGTGCATGGTTTTACATTCTCTTACTGCCCAAGGGCTTCCTTGAAAAATTTGCAACAAGGGTCATTGAAAGTTAATTGTACCTTCTGCTTGTACAGGATTATACACTTATTTATAAAACAGCTAAACGTGATAGATACAAATATTTTCTTCCCTTAAATGGTCTCCTGTCCATCTCTTAGGAGATCTAAGAATTTACCAAACCATTGAAACTGTTTGCATTTTAAGTCTGAATAAAGAAATTTGGTTTTTTACTTAATTATTTTGCACATCTTAAGCTACTGAGGAGAAATTACAAGAAGATAGACACTTGGTAATTTTGGACCTGTTTAAAGACCTTTGAAAATATGATTATAACTTCTAACTACCCTCATCAGACTAATTCTTTTACTCATTAAATATTTAGTAGCCCCTATTGTGTGCATTGCTCCAGGCACCTCAATATGGGCCCTCATCTATCTTATCTTCTAGTAACGGAAGCAAACATTAAAGAAATAAATGGACAGGGTGTGGGTTTGTAACAAGTGCTATAAAGAAATATATATCAGGATAAGTGGATAGAGTCATGGAAGGCACTGATTTATACAGGATAGTCAGGAAACGGTTCTCTGAGAAGGTAACCATTGAGAAGCATCCTGAACAATGTAAGGGAATGACGCAGAGGAGATCCAAAGGTGTGATTTTACATGACATGTCTAAAAAAGAGCAGTATGGATAACAAATATAGGCAGGATGGATAAATACAAAGCAACAGAGCAGGGTTCATGATTCAGATTTATTTTTAGGGATAGGATGTTGTGGTTATTTGAAGGATTCTTTGCAAATAATCAGTACAATTAAAATTTTATAAACAATAGTGATCTTTGTGCTATATCTATAATTGGTAAAGATTTTTTCCTATGTTTTTCAAGTCCATTGAAATTTATTTATTTTAATAACATGAAATTATGTTGTATGTTTTTTTCTTTCCACAGACAGCAATGGATCAACTTCACATGCACTTCACTCAAGCCATTCATAATACTGTGTTTCAAGTTGTTCTTGGTTATGTGGAACTATGTTCAGGAAACACAGATACAAAATTCCAAAAGCTGCAATATAAGGATCTCTGTACAGTATGTAGTGACTTTGTTCTGTTCATATTGCCTCTCTTTTAGTTTTTGAATTCATATTCCGTTTTTCTTAGCACCTATTATTTGAAGATGCTACTGAAATAAAAAGAAATATGTTTGCCGAAAGCTTTTTTTTTTCTCCCATATTGTTCTTTTTCTCATAATGGAAGATTGAGTCACACAAATGGTAAAAGTTGATGAGATGGTACAGATTGATGGAGTGCATTTGCTTCTAAATGGACTCTTTACTCTGTCATAGCTTCTCTTACCCTTTTCTCTCAGGCTCTTAATTCTCTTCTGTGATTGCATCTAAGATACTTCAAAGCAATCATCTTAGCTGGTTTCCTGTATACCCTTTCCATCAGTCTTTTCGTGTGTATGAATGCTGTTTCTGTCAGTATCTGTAACCAATTTCTTTTCATTCTTAAAGAAACGGAGGTCTAAAGGTAATATAACCACAGGTGAGAAGTGAACTGAGTTGGGCTCTGTTTTAGAATTGGTCCTGTTGATGGATTGATGTAGGGTGTGAGGAAAAGAGAATGATGAACAACTGGGAGAACAGTGAGTGGTATCATATGTGTTTACAAGGAAGACTGATTTGTAGTGGGGAGTCATGAATTCTGTTTGATAACTATTAACATTCAAGGGGACTTGTTGAGGAGGCAGTTGGATAAAAACTTACGGAGATGAGAGCTGAAGTGATAGAGTCGTCAGAATCTAATTGTGCTTAAAGCCATGATACTTGATAGGAAGATGGGGGAAAGGAGTGTAGATAAAGGAGCCATGGGACCCTTGGGCCTTGTGACATTCAGGGATTAGGTAAGGAGGAGAGACCAGGAAGAAGGGTCAGAGAGAGCAGCTTGCTAGGTGGGGGAAAAGCTAGGAGATGGTGGAACAGTCTACAGAAGGAAGTATTTCAAGGAGAATTGACCGTAAACCTATGTCAGATGCTTCTGAGAGTCTGCATAAGGTGATATTACAGAATTGACCCTTGATTTGACAATGTGGAGGTTATTGTTGACCTTGGTCTCTTTAATTCTAGTTCAAGAGTGTTCTGTGTCTCTCACTGGAGACATTCTTGAATTATTTGTAACATCAACTTAAAAAATAACAGTTCTAGGAAGTAGATATCTATTCTCTACTGTAATTATGTCCAGGGATTAGTATAAAATTAAGCGAATCTTAATTCTTTAGTGAGTTTGTCAAAAGTGCAGGTTATATGTTCATTGGGATCTGAAGAAATCTTCTTACTTGAGCTACAATAAATATTCCAGGAGGATGTGATTATATATGATAGATGAAGGATTGAGTTAATAATGACAGTGGATGGTTGTTAATATAGCTTAAAAATGTCTTTAAAATCATTTTATAAATCATGAGGACTCTTTCACAAATTTAATGATTATTAACTTAAAGTGTGATATAGTTGCATAATTTCATTTTTGAATATCCGGTTTTAAGTACAGCCATCATTTGTTAAAGTTCAATGATTTTGAAATGTGTTGTTCTTATTCATATATTTTCTTAGGTTGATAGTATATATTTTTAAATTAAATATACGAGAAATCAATTTCATTTTTTGATTCTATTGTTGCTATCATGAAGAGATGATTTAAATGGTAAAGCAATTTATTACAAGTTGGTGATTTCTCTGTTACAGCAGAAAATAACTTATAATAATTAAACATTTTAAACAAATTAGGCTTTTGTCCTTCAGTCTTCTTTACTTTGGTTAAATCTGGTGTGTGTTTGTGTATGTGCATAGTATACTTTTAGCATTAAATTTTTATATGTTTTTAAGTCAAAGACATATTTGTGCTCCTGCTTCTTGAGAAAGTCCTCTGTACATTTATGTAATACAAAGCTGAAAGTTGTACTTATAAATGTTTATGAACAAAAATTTATGCTTAAAGTGTTTACCATAGGTTGTTGGGTTTTGTTTTTTTTTTTGGAATTTCTTTCAGTTTTTTTTTAAAGCTGACTTTTGAAGGAGCTATGTGTATATTTAAATTATCAGATAACAAAGGGCTTATCTTTCTTGATTTTATTTTGAGTTAATGCTTGTTAAAATGACTCCAAGAAACATCTGGTAATTCTTTATAAAATTATCTATCTATGTGTGGTAGTAGTGAGGTATATATAATTAAATTAAGGAAACAAGTGATTTATTGGTATACTAGAGCTTAGGGGTAGAAACCGCCCCCTCCACCCAGAACAGCCAGCACATAGGTTATTATTCATCCAATGCAGTTGTACACTTCTGGTTTATATTCAAGCTGTGCTAAAACATTCATTGAAAGAGTTTTGAAGTGATGAGAATAGTAGCAAATGTTGATGATGGCTTCATGAAGGAATTTCTTTTGAGGAAAGGATTTAACAGAATTAGGTATGGTGGGCTCTTTATGTTGAGAGAACAGACTTAGGGGAGCTGAATAATGAGGTGAAGAATGTGATGCATTTTAAGGTGGCCCATTTTTTTTGGCACAATTCTCAATAAGAAATTAAAGAAGTTCCAGAAATTACCCCAGGCCTCTAGAAGTATTTAAGTCAGTGCTGCCACAGGCAGACAGGGATGTGGATATCTCTTTGAAACCTAACTAAGTTTTAATTTGTTTTATAATATTTGAATTCTAGTTGACATGTTTAAGCCAGGGAAGATTAGGAAGAAATTATTTCTCATCAGATTTGTTTATTTGTTAGTTAGTTTGATGAAAAGATGTGACCTTTTAGTAACTGAGTTCTATAAATGAAGATGATTAGCTCAGGAGAGGAAAAATGGAAGCAGCCCTTAGAAATTTAATAAATAAACTGATGAAAGGAGATTTAAATATGTTTTCCTGGTGAGAACACATATAAAGGATCTGGAATGGCACAGCTCAGGCAAGGGAGATGATTTGTGAAGGAGCCTTGTATTAGAATGTAAGGTTCTTGATTTTTTTCAATATGTAGCAATTGGGAATCATTTAGCTCTGATTAAAAGTCACTGAGAATACTTATTGAGGATGTGCTAACGGGAGAGTGTATGTGGCAATGGAATGTCAGGTAAGAAAGAAGCAACAGAGCCCTCGGGAAATGCATATAAGATGTTGACTGGTAGATTTTAGAAATGAGAAGAAAGAGTTCAGGCATTTGGGCACTTGGTTTTCTCTGTATAATAGCAGTATTTTGAAGGAAGCTCTTAATCATAGAGTTTAAATATAACATTAAAAAATGAAATACATGAAATAGTATACTCATCAGAGTTGAGAGAGGGGTGGAGTTCCTGTAAATGGGAACAATTGTGTTTCCTTTAAATGGAAAGAGATTGGAAATGAAGAGATCTAATCATCTGCTTGCCCTTGTTCATAGTATTATTTTAAACCACTCATATCCAACTATTACTAAATGGGCTAGAATGAAATTGAACTTAAGTTTTTTGATATCCCTTTACAAAGAAATCTGGGATAAAATTAGCATTCTCTTTCTATTTACTCTGGTAAACCGAGAACTTCAGAGTTCTTAAGGCCAGCAGCATCCTATCCCGTTATGACATTTCTGTGATTTGTGTCCTGTCAACCATTGCTGAGTTTAAAAGCTTAGTTGGCTTTGAGCTTTTTGAAATTATTTTGTAATTGAATGTACTTACTTTTCTTTCTTTACTAAACAATGTTTTCTGAATGGTTTCATTAGAAGCACAATTTTTCTTCTTACAGTTTATCTTTCAGTGTGATTTTCCTGTTTTTCTTGAATGTATTGGCGAACAGTTGTTAGATCAGTAATTTAGGCTCCTTTAAAAATGTGTACATTATTTTGAAGCTCAAATAAATGACTGATATTTAGCAAAAATTTCAAAATGAATTAAACCTCATTCATTTCCGGAAAGGGCCAATGAAAGGGGCTTAGTGGTCATTTTATTTACTTAAAAAAATTAAGCATTGTTTGTGATTGCATTTACGTTGATGTACCCCTACATGTTGATACCAGTCTGTGGAGAAATTTATAGACACCAAGTGGATGTTATTTATTTAGTGACCTTGTAGAGAAACTTTTTGTAGGCTATTTGAAAGTTAAAAAAAAATTTTTTTACAACCTTCTTTGGCAGGCTGTTGGATTTCCCTGGGAAGCTTATATTAAGATGTTAATTAGGATGTTATTGATTAATTTTATGATAATAGAGCTGGCTAACGCTGGCTGAAATTTTCCCAACCATTTTTCAGTTTTTCATTTCCAAATGAGCTTAATGAGTTTTGAGTTCTGTTTTTGAAATGAACTTGATAATGTAGTAATAACTTTAGTGAAAAATGGAGTTTTTTTTAAAAAAACTTTGAAATCATTTCAGTGTATGTTTTCCCAGAGTCTGACACATTGGAGGTGCTTAGTAAATGTTTCTTGAGTAAATTCAATTGCCCTCCTTGTCTCTAATTGGTACGATGTTGACACAGTTCAAATTTAAGTTAAGTATGAGGGAAAGAAAACCAACATTGTGCATCTTTTGTGTGCCATGGACTTCTTTTTTAAAGATTTTATTTATTTATTTGAGAGAGAGAGTGAGTGGGGGGGTGGCTGTGGAGTGGATGGGCAGAGGGGAGAGAATCTCAAGCAGACTCCGTGCTGACCACGGAGCCTGACTTGGGGCTTGATCTCATGACCCTTAGATCATGCCTTGAGCTGAAATAAAGAGTCAGATGCTCAACCGACTGAGCCACCCAGGTGCCCCTGTGCCATGTACTTTTACAGATGCTTTATGTGCATACATCGTAGAAAGACAAAGGGACTGCTGGGCTAACATTCCATTCTTCTAAGCTTTATAAAATTTTTCTTGTAAGTACTCTCTCTTGATACTGAATTCAATGTCAGTTTTTTTGAAGGTTAATAAATATCTTTTTTTTTTTTTTTTTAAAGA